CCTGCTTGCAGAACCTCTAAATCTATCTGGCCAGAATTCTCTCGTAAAAGAACGTCTTCGCTGCTGGATCACAGCAAGAGGGAGATCAAAATCGTTGTGGGGATCATTACTGGTCACTGCAAAGTTAGATCTCTCACTTCTAAGTGGGACTCCAGTGGAGAGGATTACTGTCGTCTATGTGAGGACGAAGAAGAAGTGGAAACAATTGAGCACATCCTCTGCAAAATTCCATCGCTGATCAGCAGAAGACATAAACAGTTTGGATGCTATGAAATTGATAATCTAGTCTTCTTCTCCAAAATAGACCCTAACCAAATTCTAGGCTTTGTCAAAAAATTGACTTGGCTAAAATAATGTCTCTTCCGCTTCCTCTTTCTCACTATTTCTCTCTCTACTCTTCCACTATTTTTTCTTCTTCTCTTTATAGGTATACCTATACATAAAGGATGATCACAATGGACATAGTTTCCGAGTGGACGGCTGTTATAACAGCCGTACATCCCTAACCTAACCTATATATGCAACCAAGATGGGTATAGTAAAACTGCGGAGCAATAATCAAGAACATATCACTTTAGAAGACGTCTTATATTGCAAAGACGTGCCTCAAAATTTACTGTCTGTGAAAAGAATGCAAGATGCGGGATTAACTGTTGAATTTAATCCAGGGGGTGTTGTGGTCACAAAAAGTGGGCATGTTGTTATGGATGGTAAATATAACAATAATATACCAACTGTAAATTTTGATATTGTTGCAAGTGTATATACGTCCAGAACTTTACAAGCAAAGTAGGCTATCATTTAATAAACATAAAGATAAACATCGTATAAGAAGGCCTTTATTTATTGTTCACTCGAATGTTTGTGTCCAATAACGCCTTCGACAATTGATGGAAGGAACTACTATGTCATTTTTGCTAACCAATATACACATTACTGTGTGACATATTTATTGACACATAAATCAGATGTATTTTCTGTTCTTAAAGATTTTGTTGCTAAAAGCGAATCCCATTTCAATTTAAAAATTGCCAATCTATACATAGATAACAGTAGAGAATATCTATCTTCTGAAATGAAGGATTATTGTATTCAAAAAGGGATAAGCTACCATTTGACAGTTCCATATACCCCTCAATTAAATGGTGTGTCCGAACGCATGATCAGGTCTATATCTGAAAAAGCTCGTGCTATGGTGAGTGGAGCTAAATTAGACAAGAGTTTTTGGGGAGAGGCTGTTCTAACAGCAACATATTTAATAAACCGAATTCCAAGTAAAGCGTTGGAAAAGAGACGAAAACACCTTATGAAATTTAAAATACTTGAAAGTGTTTGGTTCAACGGTGTACGTACATAATAAAGTGAGAATATGCAAATTTGATGAAAAGTCATCAAAAGGTATCCTTGTTGGATATGAACCAAATGAATATAAGGTATTGGATGTTGAAACTGGAACTTTTTTGATAGCAAGAGATGTTATTGTGGATGAGATAAATATTGTAAATACCAGAAATTCCGCTAAAAAAGTAATAGAACGAAATAACCTTAGAAGTAAGCTAAATATCCCGAAAGAGAGTACCGAAATGATGAGGAATATCCCGAATGATAGTACGGAAATGATGAGAACTTTCCCGAACGAAAGTACGGAAATTATAAGAACTTTCCCGAATGATAGTACGGAAATGATGAAAACTTTCCCGAATGATAGTGAGGAAAGAGAATACAACATGAATGATACGATAACTAATGTCGATCTAAATACTAATGGTGACATTGTATTTGAAAATACAAAAGAAAACAACAGCCAGTTGTCTGACTTGGAACCTTCAACTGAAATCAGAAGAAGTAAGAGACTAAGAGAAAAGCCACCAGTTTCATACCAAGAAAGTGAAGATCCATTTCATTAGTGTATGATGGGTGTCCAAACTAATACTGATATACCAAGTACTTTTGACGAAATTAAAAATAGGAGCGATAAGATACAATGGGAAGAAGCGATTAATGATGAGCTTAGATCGCATTTTGAGAACGAGACTTGGTCTGTTGTATCAAACCCTGTTGGTAAGAACATAGTTGACAGTAAGTGGGTTTTTTCATTGAAACATAATGAAATGGGTAACCCAGTTAGATACAAAGCAAGACTAGTTGCTCGTGGTTTTACCCAAGAGTACTTGGTTGATTACGATTAAACTTTTGCTCCAGTGGCTACAATTTCTAGTTTTTGGTTTTTGTTAGTTTTTCTAACCAATACAATTTAAAGGTTCACCATATGGATGTTAAGACGGCGTTTTTAAATGGAACATTAAAAGAGGAGATTTATATGAAAATTCCTCAGGGTTTGGTGTGTGAGACCGGAAAAGTCTGTAAATTAAATAAGTCCATTTATGGACTGAAACAGCCGGCAAGGTGTTGGTTTGAAATATTCGATCAAGCATTGAAAGATATAGGGTTTGCGAATTCATCAGTGGATCGCTGCATATATATTCTTGACAAGGGCGATATACTTGAAAATGTATATGTATTATTGTATGTTGATGATTTGGTAATTGCCACATTTAATTCAAAAACTATTGCTAATTTTAAAAAGTACTTAATGAACAGATTCAAAATGACAGATTTACTTGATATCAAATATTTCATTGGCATAAATATAGAAAGACAGGATGATACATTTTTTTTTTTTTTGAATCAATCAGCATATATCAGAAACATTCTCAAAAGATTTAAAATGGATGACTGTAAACCAGTAAGTACTCCCATGTCCACTAAACCAAATTATGAAGAACTTAACTCTGATAAAAAGTAATGCAATTAATATACTGAGTCGCTATAGCAATAAAAATAACATAGAGTTATGGCAATGTCTTAAACGAGTGTTGAGGTATCTTAAAGCTACTATTAATTTAAAACTAGTATACAAAAGGAATTCTAGTTACAGTGACATGATTATTGGATATGTGAACTCTGATTAGGGTGGAAGTGAGCTTGATAGGAAAAGTACAACCGGATTCATACTTAAGATGTTAGAAACTTGTCTTGTTAGTTGGAATACAAGGAAGCAGAATTCTGTTGCAGCTTCATCCACAGAAGCTGAATATATGGCTTTGTTTGAAGCAGTAAGGGAAGCAATATGGTTGAAATCATTATTGAGTAGTATCAAAATAGATTCAGAAGCACCAATTAAATTATATGAAGTAATCAAGGCTGTATAATCATAGCCAAAAAGCCATCAAGCCACAAACGATCTAAACATATTGATGTTAAATATCATTTTTCCCGAGAACAGGTGGAAAATAAACTAATTACCATTGAGTATACTCCTGCAGATAAACAGATAGCTAATGTTCTGACGAAACCCCTGCCAGCTGCTAAATTTCTGGATTTTAGATGTCAACTCGGGTTAAATGCTGATGAATATTTTTTTTCTTGTTTTATTCGGTTTGATTAGGTTTTACTGGGTTTTCCTAATCCTTGCAACAAATGTTGGACTATATTTTTGTTTTTCCCCAGATATAACAACTTGTCACATTATGTAGTAATTTTTATGATACCGCTATTTAATATATCTTAATATATATATATATATATATTACTTGTAATGACCAATGTATTTTTGAGGGGGTGTGTTGGATAAACATAAATTAAATTGTTAATAGGGAAAACATATTATGTTTTAAAATTTGAATTGAATTTCTGTTGCCATGCAAAAATACATTGTTCAGTAATCTTCATACATTTTATAATTTACCAAAATTTATTTTTTAAAATAGTAGGCTTTGTAATTATGTTTTTTCCATATTGGAATGAAGAAAATTTTCAGTCAGTCGTTTGTAATACATAGTGAAGACAAGTTGTGTAATAATAAAATATTTGAATTGCTAAAGAAATAAAACTGTTTTAATTCACAAAGCTGAAAATCTAATACATATAATTTTTTTACACAACATGAGGTCTATTATAGCGAACAATCGTGCATCATTAACTCGAAAATCAGGTATTTAGTTAAGCCTCTCTTGCAGCAAATGAACGATATATATAAATTTGAATTCTACATGGAGACAATTGCGCATTTGATGCTCTAGGTGTCCAACTTATATGTGCCTTTTGATAAATAGTTTCTGAAATATATTTTCCATGAATTCGTTAATTTTTACCAACCCCATATTGATGCAATTCTGATAAGGCAAAACAACGTTTGCCGGGTCTGCTAGTTATATATAAAAGAAACGTTCAAAGGTGTCCCCCTCACCCCTACATACATATATTGTTTTGTTCTTCCACACATGTTGTGCTTTCAAATTTTCTTTAAAAACTAAAGTAGGGGGTGCGAAGCGCCACGGTTTCAGCTAGCAATAAAGATATAAATAATAAGAAAAATAAAAACAAATTGTTTAACTCTGTTTTCATAAAAAATATAATTTTAAAAAATGTACTGAAGGGGTGCTTAAGTTTTGGCCGATACTGTGTGTCAAACATCAAATAATGACAAACACATGCTGTAATGTGCAATAACACAATACTTTTCAATATTTTTCCGTAGTGTAATAATAAAAATTATTAAATGACCGAAATAAAAAAATCATTTAAGCTACTAAAAAATTACATACATTTAGAAAATGAGTACGTATAAATTAAAATGAGTTGAGTCAGTTATATATTTGATCATTTCAGATTTGCACCAAGTACAATGAAAAACACTTAGTTATTTTTCTTATACTTTTCCAAAATGGGCGTGGTATCTTTTCCTTCTAAAAGTGTACAATTAGTACGTTTATTACAATACTTGGGTATATAAGAACTGTTTATAGTATTGAGAAATTCAATCTCGACTACTCAAAATGAATTGGGCGTGTCAAACCGTAAGAACATGCAACATACTATTTGCCCTCATGTATGCAATAAAGTTTGTAGTTATGCTAACCTTCAACCGTAGATTTACACACATTTTACAAAGATTATAAAACTTGTTTATCTTATCATCTAATTTTTATAGTAAATACCTTTCCACAGAATATCGTATTAGCATGATAACTCCGGCCAAAGGTAAAGGCCATATAAGATCCTTATAATTCGCATGCTGGACGTCAGGCCGTGAGCCGGGAGCAATATCCGCCCATGTAACATTTGGTGGAAGCCAAACATTGGGCGACCAAAAAGAATCACTGAATTTTCTAAAGACCTCCATGGCGTGGTAACAGCTTAAACACTTCACTAATCATAAAATGCAATCTACGGAATTAAATATTTCATCGCTTACTCCAACAACTCAATTCGTGACTAGAATAAATTAGAGATGTATATTAGAGTTAAAAAATAGAGTACTGGAATTAGTCGAGTATTTGATATTTGAGTATACGGTTACTCAGTTCTCAACGACAACATAATAATAATCTATGAATACTATGCTACCCTGTGTTCACATACGCAGAGTTCCAAATTGTAAAAGATTTGTTATTCAATATATATACATATATAGTTTTGATAATTATTTATGGACAACGTATATTTTTATTTAAAAATATGTTTAACTATATTTTTAAGTTTTCATCCAAAGCATATTTATACAATGTAGTCTCATGCAGTCTCTCAAAATTTCAATGAGATTTCCTCCTTCGAATTCTACGCACAACTTGTGTTCAGTGGCAAAAACTACCAAATTATTAATATTTCGAAATTCCCTACCACTATAATATATTATATATAAATATAAGTTTAACACCCATCGTTGGGAAAGAAGAAAGGAAGAAAAATACGCATTCGCAAGTGTTGACTCACTCACCTACAATTCAAGTTGAGAACGCCGGTTTAGAATACCCTTGGTCAAAGCGGTTGGTGCACTTTATGACGAAAATATTTCTTCAGTTACTCTGGGGCAAAATTTACTGGTACGTTGCTTTTGTAAAAACACCTTTTACTTGCTCTGGGGCAAACTGTGTATATTCCTGTTTGAATATTAAAAACATGGGTGGTATTCAACGTTTTTATTTCTTATTATTTCACAGTCGACTTAGCACTATGTTCTTTTCTTTGGATGGTTTTTTTTCGAATGATGTCGCGCTCGATCAACTAAATTCAATTTATTCTTCTTATTCTTCGATTTGAGTGAGAATGGGAAAGGAGAAGAGAGAAAACAAAACAAAAATAATTCAATATTGGGAAACGTTCTTGCGAATTAGAAATAGCTAAACGTAACTGACGTAACGTTCATGAACACTCCCCCATGGGCTTTGTTCGATTTAACGATGCATAATATTAGGTTGAGGAAAAAGAAATCCATTATTTTTATATGAATATAGGACTTTATTTAACATGTTTGGAATGTCCGATTTGGGCCAAATATGCACAGTTTGTTGCATGGTACAATAATACAAGGTATGGCAGATTGAGGTGAATGACAAAAACCCAACTATGTAGGTGGTGGCTTTTTCTGTCAAATATAAAATAAATATACGCAACAAGTGGTTGTGTTTATTTGAAAATTTTCAACACATAACTAAAATCGTGAAAAATGAATAACAAGTTATGATTTATTTCCAAAATTCAGTAGTGTAGTCCATGACAGCAAAAGTTCTTTTAGTAATATCATATTTTTTTGATGTCATTTTTTCTTCTTCAAAGACATGGAATTTCTTAATATTCACAAGGGATGTAGTCACAATTTTAGTTGGTAAAACTTAAATTACAATAAACACAAAAGAGATTTTATCTCTTATTGTTTACGTCTCATAACAACAGCTGGAACGACGATCAACAAAGCTGCGGTGTGGGAGTTACACCGGATTTCTTAACAATAAGCAGTTCTTGCCATTTGGTGAGAAGTGAGCTACGCGTTGGAAGGACATGTGGTATTTTGGTATTGTTCATAAACAAACGCTTAAAAACAATACGAAATTATTTTTGATCTCCTTGATTGATTTGTTCATTCTTTTGTCGAATTAACCAAATGAAAAACTGAATGTAAACCATTTGTTGTAGTACTGACATTCAATAACAACAACATTCAAGTTCATGGTTGCATTTAATTGACGCGCTCAGGTAGACTACCTTCATTATTTTACCATGACTGATTTCTAAGATTGTCTCAAGCAATCGTGAGACCTTCCGTGGTTAGCGGAATATGACCGTTAATTTCCCTCTCTTCACCATTTGTTTTTTGAAATGATGATAACGTTTCTCTACTGGGCCTAATTTTTTTATTAATGTATATGGTGGTGAACAAATCACGAAAACTTGACCATACATAGTATCACACGGCGGATACATAACCTTATTATTGCATCATGGATACACCTAATGTAGCTCTCATGAACTTCATTAGGCGAGCAAGAAAACAACATGTTCAGCGCACAAGCAGCTAACGCATAGGCAACGAGACAACAGAACAATAATGATTGTACCAAGGGATGGAAAAGTGCACGCAAACAAAAGTGCCGGTTCAGCACAACAACACAACAATGGGAAATGGGATGCCCCCACGAGGATAAGAGGAGATTGCCACAGCACGCCAGACATCACCATTGTGGCACCGGGTCTTATAAATGACGTAACCTGGCAACCCGTTATTTCACAACGCTCAGACCACCTTCCGATCATCGTCTCCGTAAACAGACCACCAGACTTAATTACCTCTGAAAGCCGTACTTTCCTGAACCATTAGAAAGCTGATTGGCCTGGCTTCAGAGAGTTTCCCAATCACCGCTTCAGAGATCTGCCCACTCCCTCAGATCCACGGGTAGCTGAGAGAAATTTCCAGAAAATCATCGCTACTGCTGCCGCTGGCTTCATACCCGAAGTAAGACCGAACTTCCCAGTAGAAGCAACGGTATTGGCTAATGAGCGTGATGAGCTCCGTCGTACTACTTCTGAAGACCCAAGGGTGCGAGAGCTTACCCTTGAAGTCAACAGATTAGTATGCGAGCACAAAAGGAAATAGTGGCTAGACCACTTGAAGCAGTGCAACATTGCCACCGGAACAAGTAAATTGTGGGCAACTGTTAAGTCACTCTCGAATCCTAGAAGGAAAGATGACAGGACGGCTGTTACATTTAACGAAGTAACTATAACAGACCCGAAGAGGTGCGCGAGTTATTTTAACCGGCAGTTCATAGAGCACCCCGAGAGTGACAGGGCGAAAAGGAGTGTGCTACGTCGCATAAGTGCACTCCGAGCTGAGGAGGAACCACCACAATTTACGAAGGAGGATGTTGCAGATGTCATTAATAACGCTAAGTCATCCAAAGCGTTGGCCCCGGACGGATTTTCCATGGTAATGCTAAAGCAGCTGGATGAATCCGGAGTTGAGTACTTAACATCAGCCCTCAACATGTCATAGTTCCTGAAGCCTGGAAAATAGGCAGGGTGGTCCCGCTACTGAAGCCAGGCAAGGATGCCAGCAGAGGTGAATCGTACAGGCCGATTTCACTCCAGTAGCCGGTAGCGAAAACACTTGAGGCGCAACTCCTCCCATCGTTGAGAATCAGTTTTCCAGTTGCCCAACACCAACATGGATTCCGTAAGATGCATAGCAGAGGACTCCATATTAGCAGAGGACTCAACCAGAACAGGCCGTGCAACGGAACAGTTATGGTGGCGCTTGACCTATCGAAGGCCTTCGATACAGTCAACCATGCCAAGCTGTTCGAGTATATAGAGAGGACAAATCTCCGACCGTGTTTGAAACGTTGGATAATCAACTATATGTGTGTGGACGCCAGTCGTATGTGGAATTCAGAAACAGGAAGTCTAAATTCCGTAGAGTGAAACAGGGAGTTCCCCAAGGAGGGGTGATATCTCCGGAACTGTTTAGCCTCTACCTTTCTGATATTCCACAACCACCGGACGGCATAGAGATCGTAGCGTATGCGGATGATTGCGTCAACCATGCCAAGCTGTTCGAGGATATAGAGAGGATAATCGATAATCAACTATATGTGTGGAAGCCAGTCGTATGTGGAATTCAGAAACAGGAAGTCTAAATTCCGTAGAATGAAACAGGGAGTTCCCCAAGGAGGGGTGATATCTCCGGAACTGTTTAACCTCTACCTTTCTGATATCCCACAACCACCGGAGGGCATAGAGATTGTAGCGTATGCGGATGGTTGCACGATCATGGCGTCGGGTCCCATTATTGATGATATATGTGAGGGCTAAACGTCTACATAGCCGATCTTGTTAACTTCTTCCATCTGAGGAATATGAAAATATCCGCCCAAATCAACAGCCACACTGTTCACCACATGGACGGCTGAAATGAAGCTCCCACTGAACATAATGGTCGATGAAGAATTGATTCCGACCACCAACTACCCCAAGATACTGGGAGTAACGTTCGGCAGCCTTTTCAAGTCGTCCGCTCATGCCACTGTTTTATGTGATAAGCTGAGAAGTAGGAACAAGGTCCTTAAGACGCTAGCCGGCAGCACTTGGGTCGCTGACAAAGAAACCTTGTTGACCAGTGTGCTTCGCGAATGTTAATGATACGCAGTGGAATAATATCCAGACCTGCCAAAACGCTGCCCTGAGAATTGCAACAGGGTGTCTCCTCATGACACCAGTGGACCATCTTCATGAGGACATGAAGATCTTACCCGCCCATCGTCACAATTATATGTTGTCGATGCAGTACTTGCTTGGGTGTTATCGTCGGGAACGTCCCTGCCATATCCTTATGAACAGGACTCCCCCACCCAGGCACGTCAGGAAAGATCTTCATGATCTAGAGAGAGAGGTCCAAAGGTACAAGCGTGAACGAAAAATATTGGAAATAAATGTCAATTTGTTCTTCCTACACAAAAACAAACAATTGTTTTGAAACAATAAAATCGGATTTACATATAATATTTGATCATGATTAAAGGACGAATCGGGGTTTATTTTCTTAATCATTTACCATGTAAATTTAAATTTAAATCATCGGTGATTGGTGGTAGAAATCATGATACTACGGAGATGCAAGGCGTTTTTTGTATGTTTAGAATATCATAACAAAAAACTTAGGGAACTGATGAGGATCAGTGGCGGATCAGCCCTCGGCGTACAATGCCATACATTACCCACTAATAAATAGTTGTATTTTTCATAAAACAAACAAACTGGGATTCAGCCCGACTATTTTGCAAAAACAAAATACAAATGGTATCCCAAATAACCAGCCAACACTACTATATTAATTATTTGTAGGTCGAA